TCTATCTGGCATTCTATCGGGCATATCTTCTGGCATATGTTCTGGCATATCTTCTGGCAAATCTTCTGGCATTCTATCTGGCATTCTATTTGGCATTCTATCTGGCATATCTTCTGGCATATCTTCTGACATTCTTTCTGACATTCTTTCTAACTTTCTTCTGCACATTCTTTGTCCCATATCTTCCTACATGAGGTCCGGCAGGGAACACTTGGCGTGGATACTCGCGGTTGAGGTCCGGCAGGGAACACTGGGCGTGGATGGTCGTGGTTGAGGTCCGGCAGGGAACACTGAGCGTGGATGGTCGTGGTTGGGGTCCGACAGGGAACACTGGGCGGAGATGGTCGTGGTTGAGGTCCGGCAGGGAACACTGGAATGGATGGTCGTGGTTGACGTCCGACAGAGAACACTGTGCGTCGAGGGTCGCGGTTGAGCAGGAGGAGGCGGAGAGGAGAGGAGACGAGGAGAGGAGAGGAGAGGAGGAGAGGAGGAGGAGGACGAGGCAGGAGGAGGCAACTGACATAAAATCTAACAACCCTCACCTGGCAGGTGGGGAACAAGCAAACGCTTGCAAAGTCATGTCCTGTCCATTGTCAACAAGATGCGCACCAACCCCGGCACCAACCTTTTTCAACTGGATTCGGTCCAATGTTGGCGATACGGCGATACGTTCTCCTTTGGACGGGCTCTCAGTCGCTCCATGTAAACACCCCGCAGCCCCACTCTTTGTACCCGCGAGGTGGCTGGAGCTTCCAAGTGTCTTTGGCCAGATGCATTCGAAACAAACCCCTGATACTTGCTGCAGGGTACCTTGTGGTTTCCGCCGGGCCAAAAAAATAAACCGATCTTAATCTTACCCAAAACAAAAGTTTCGAAGTGTTGCGATTGGATCTTGAAGGACGTCATCTACCAAATTGAACTGCAAACAAAACCAACACAAAATTCACAAGACCGGGTCCAAGCACACAGCTCCGTGGGCCTTGAACGGCATGGTCAGTTCTTGCTGCTCAGTGCGCAGCTGCATTTGCCCCTCGTCCAGGTCGATGGCAAAGCCGAGGACATCGTTGACTTTCCACGGTGCGATCTGCAGCGGTTCCCTTCTCCCACCGTGCCACCAGCAGCGCCCTGACCCATCAAACGCCCAGCCGTTGGCATCATCTCCGACGCCTTTATCATCGTCATCATCTCCACCGAAATCTGTACTGAGCCAACCCAGCTGAGGGCAGTCGAACTCGCTCAAGATCTGGATTTCATGATAAAACTTGCCTCGGCTCTGGGCCAAGTTTGGGGCACCGCAGGTGAACCAATCGTAGCCGTGCGGCGGTGTGTCAGATGGTTTCAAAGCAGTGAGCCCAACCAGGCGAGGCTCAGGGCCGGGACTGGCACCTGCACGAAGCAACGCTTCGGTCACGGGGCCATTGGGGCCCTTTGCCGTTGCAATGTCCAAAGCACGAACTTTGCCGATGCCAGCAGCGTTGACGTCCACAAAACCAAGCAGAAATTCCACCACCATCAAGTGATCGCCGTATGCGGCTGCATGCAAAGAGCGTACCCCGAGGTCACATCCGGCCGTGTGGAAAAATTTCACCACCTCCAAGTGGCCGTTCCAGGCCGCAAGACTTCCAGCAGTGTCACCAGCGTTGTTGGCTTTGTCCAAGTCACATCCGGCCCTGTGAAGAAATTGCACGACCTCCAAATGGCCGTTTTTGGCCACAAGAATTCCAGCAGTTGTTCCATGGTTGTTGGCTTTGTCCAGGTCACATCCGGCCCTGTGAAGAAATTTCACCACCTCCAAGTGGCAGTTTTGGGCCGCAAGAATTCCAGCAGTCCAACCATCGTTGTCGGCTTTGTCAAAGTCACATCCGGCCCTGTGAAGAAATTGCACCACCTCCACATGGCCGTTTTGGGCCGCAAGAATTCCAGCAGTTGTTCCATCGTTGTTGGCTTTGCCCAAGTCACATCCGGCCCTGTGAAGAAATTGCACGACCTCTAAATGGCCCCCCTGGGCCGCAGCAATTCCAGCAGTCCAACCATCGTTGTCTGCTTTGTCCAAGTCACATCCGACGGTGTGAAGAAATTGCACGACCTCCAAATGGCCGCTGAAGGCCGCGCAAATTCCAGCAGTCCAACCATCGTTGTTGGCTTTGTCAAAGTCACATCCGGCCCCGTGAAGAAATTGCACCACCTCCAAATGGCCGCTGAAGGCCGCAAGCATTCCAGCAGTGTAACCATAGTTGTCGGCTTTGTCCAAGTCACATCCGGCCCTGTGAAGAAATTGCACCACCTCCACATGGCCGTTGAGGGCCGCAAGCATAGCCGCAGTCCCTCCGTTGTCCGTCGCCCGTTCCAAATCGCTTTCGCCACACGATTGCAGTGCCTTGATGGTGCTGACGTGGCCCCCCTCAGCGGCCCAGTGCAGCGCAGATTTGCCTTGCCACTCCGCAGTAAGCGAAACCCCGGCACCGACCAACGCGTGGATCACCGAGCTCTGCCCAGCCCCAGCAGCCTGGCACAGCGCCGCCACGCCCTCGTTTTTTGTTGCTGATCGCAGCAGGCGTGGAATCTGCGACGCCACACCGAACCGCGCTGCCAGCTCCAAGCGCCCGCCTTTCCAGCCAGCGATGACAGGGAAGAAGGGCAAAGCAAACAACGACAAGGCGACGTCGTGCGCCAGTGCCGTGAGGAATGTCACAGCAAAGGTGAATAGAACCAACAAAGCGACGATCACCACCGCTGGCTGTTCAACCGCAAGGCAGTCACTTCCAACTGCAATGGAAAATGACCAAGCGCACAACCACAATGTGCCCAAGGTTTGTAAAAGACGGAGCGCAAGCAAAGATCTGGAAAGTCTATGTTGGGCTGCTAAATCTGCCGTATTGCAGCACCAGTAGGTGCCAAGGAAGCAGGCCATGACACTGACGAGATATTCTCTCTTGAAGAGCTCAGACCATGCCAGGTTCAACCCGAAACTTCGGGATTTGAAGACTGCTGTGATCAACAGCAGCTCCGCTGCCAGTATCAGAGGCAAATACGGCTGTTGCAACCCGTGAAGTTTGGCACCAATCGGCCGAAGACACATTCCCAGCAATGCCCAAGCAGCAATGCGCGAAAAACTGTCACAACATCTGAAGCCTAGCAAGGCACCGGGTGGCAACTTGGTTTTCTCCAGTTTGCGGCTTTCAGGAACACAGAGTTCATAGGCATTGTTGATTCCCACCTCAACGGTCAGGATGGACATAGCGATTGATCCGCACAAAATGAGCAGGTCGACCGAATTTTCTTGGGGCGGTTCCAACATCATGGCATATAGCTGCAACAAACTCGACGGCGCACCCTCAGCCAGCGCAGCCAACATCTTCTCCTCTCGCAGGTGTCGAGTCATGCCATGAAGCCAACCTTCCCAGGCCATGATCACAGGCTGGATCTGTGCAACGTACAGCGCGAAGCTCTTGAAACCAGGCTTTGGTTCACCATGCTCGTTCAAGCCTGAGGCCCAGTATTTAGCATTGGTTCCAGGTCTGCACCGTTCCCAGCTCACATATCTGTGGCCAAAAGCTACGCATCCGCTGCCAAGCCAAATCAAGATCATCAGAAGAGCAAAAACATACATCCTCTGCTTGCAGTACTTGTAGGTCACGTACACATCCGACAGCATGTCGGCCAGCCACAGCAAAACCATTTGAGCCACTTCAGCTTTTGCAAAAAATCTTTCGACGTGCTCCTGACCTGCAAATTTTCGGACAACAAACTCTGCAACACATCCGCTGCACTTTTTCAACAGAAACGGAGCCAACAGCAACATTCCACAGAGCAACAGCTGTGCGCGCTGCAGGATTGCCCACTCCATGATCTTCCGGATCTGGTCGGTGAAGCAAGGCCCTGGGGCGAACCTGCGCAGGTTGCCCAAATCCACCATTTTCGCATGCAAGACGTGGAACTCTTTGCCCAACGGTTCTCGGAACCGCAACACCACCGCGGCCACAATGGCCATCGCCAAGCCGAGCAAACAACAGACTTTGAGGGCGAAAGCCCTGGAACCAGCTGGGCAAATGGCAGATCCGCCGTGGATCTCCGGTTCATCGGCCGCCTTGTCGCACAGCTCTTCTCTCACGGCCAGGAGCAGCGGCGTCTCCTCTTCCTCCCCGTCACTCGATTCGGGCAGCGGTCGGATGCTTTGAACCGACGCCTCCCCAGGCCGGCGCCTCCAAGGCCGCGACAGGCCGCAACCCATGGCCGACACCACAATCGCTTCTCCTACTCAAAAGCGAGTGCAGAAAAGGCCCCCGTTGTACCATGTGATCTCATCTTACAAAGTGCTGTTTTCATAATGTAAAGGTCCCACCTCCTTGGATCACATCATCACATGTTACGATGCTGCTTCCTAGACATATTATTGAGAAGGTTATGCACCGAAATGATCTGAAATGTCCCTGAAGTGTTTTGAGTGCATGGGACGAGTCACTTTCCGACTTAGCTGACTAGAAAAGGACGTTTCATCACGTGATCTCACCTCAAGAACTGTTTCCTGGCGTGTCACATGCCCCTTTCGTCAATCTTCCTGACAGTCGGAAAGTCTTGGAATGGAATGCCTCGTTGGCATCTACTGCGATGTGTTGGAATGTCATGCGGTGTATTGGGATGTAGTGGAGTGTGTGGGAAAGTGTTGGCACGTTGCCTTGAATCGCACAAGCACCTCTGCAAGCCAAACTTTCGGCCAAACCAAATTCGCCACATCGCCCAATGATTTGGACATCTGCGTCCAGTGACTTCTCGGTTGCAACCTGCGTGGCATATGCAGCCTACTGAATTTGACACAAGCCAAAGAATGCTTCTGATCAGGACGCAACTGAGGGCCCCACTATGCGAAATGGTGCCGTGCCAAGACGTTTTTTTGTCGTTCACATGGTGGCAGCTGCTTCTGTTGGGCCAGTTGAACATCCTGTTTTTCTGCTTCATGCATCCATTCTGGGGATTAAGAAGTTCGTCGGGACAACCACAAGTTATATAGTGATTTGTTGCATCACCTTTGCCTCATAACAGCCTTTGAACCGTGCGAAAATGCAGGACGACATGGTTTGCAAAGATCAAAACATCTGGAACTGCATGGAGCTGCATAGACCTGTTGTGTGGGAATGTGGATGCGAACTCTGGGCAAAGCACTGCGCAATTCATCTTTCGTAAACATGGTCAAGGCCAGCCTCAAAATCAGCAAGGACTTTCCAGCATCGAACTTTGTTCTTGATGAAAGTCTAAACAAAAGAATCACAACCTCACTTGCCTGGTGGACGGCTTTGCGAAATAAACTTAGGAAGACAAAGCACCCGACAAAGAATGGTAAGTGAGAATTCTTAAGGGTGGCATGAGGAGCAAATGTTTAGGATGAAAAAACAACAAATCCAAAAACCCAGTCCGGAACAAAACAATGTCATGGCAAGCAACCACTCTTTTGCTTGCAATCTGCTGATTACAATCCATACGTTTGAAAGACGGGGCGAACAGGCCCGCAAGAATAGAAAGTAGCACAACCAGCGTGTCAAAGGCCACCGAGATTATCCCCCAAATCTGCAGGTCCAAAGGCAGCTCAGCCTATTTCTGTCGCGAAATCAGGTTCTGCAATTGGCAGCTGTGGAATCTTCGCCGGGGCACCTTGGCGCAAAATGAACAAATCACACCCCTACAGCTGCGGTGGAAGGAAAACTCCGCTCCAGCACGAACCGAACCCAACTGGGAGCCCTGCCCAACCGGCCAATCAGATTCTCCGATGTGGTTGCTGCAACAATCCCTGCATGAAATTCGAAAGCCTCGTTTCCGTTGATAGCTCCAAAGATGGGACCCTCCAAAATTGTCCACCAGCTAAGCATATTTTGACACCGCTAGATGTGGCCACAGGTTCTGGATCTGGAAGAATTGCTGACATCTTTCATTGTTCACATCGCAGCATTCCAACATTTGGGTTAATTTGTGGACACCAGACATGCAAGATTACTGAACTTTCACATCATGTATGAGAACGAAACACACGAGAGTGACGAAACATCGAAGCATCTTTGGGGTGGCAAAGGTTATTTGCATGTTCTCTGCACCAACCTTCTGGACATTTCTGGGCCCACACATATGTTGTACACCCTCCACCAGACTCCCATGAAGATGTTGACGAACCGTGCTTGGACTCCGCGCTTCCGTCGCTGCGCCTCCTGCACAGGCGCCGTTCTTCTCACCACCACCGTTCCACGTTGTGAAACATTGTGAAAAATGCTGCTTATCAAAACGGATATCCACTTTTTTACATGTTCCAAAATTTATCAAACAAGCAAGTCCCAAGGATATCGACGGGTTGTCATTCTGTGCGCCACCATTGAACCTGACGATGTAGATCTTGGTATCTGCGCGGATGGACCCCTTGGCACCTCTAGCGATTGGAGATGCAATGGATCTGCCCTGGGCGGCCAAAGCAGGTAAAAAAAAGACGGGTTGGTTGAACGGCTTGAACCAATGGGAACCTGTATAAAATCACGAAGAAACGGATATGATATGAACCAACCCAATGATATTGAAGGCCCAAAAAAGATTGGCACATGACCTAATGGAATTCAGCCAACAATGTGCAAACACTTATCAGGACAAAAAAACTGGGACAGCAAAATCGACAAATCAAACTTCCGCAGAATCACGGCAGAAGGTGAATTCTCATGCCTGGCTATAGCTTAATTCAAATGCCCTGAGATTGTCCGGGAATCAAGCTCGAAGCAGCAACGGACGAACCAAACAACTGGGAGTTTCTGATCTTTCAACGGCCCTGGCCCCGGAATTGGTTGCTCAATCGGCAAAATAAGAATCTTTGATTTGATTGCTGCATCGAGTCCATCAGCCAAGTATTTGTTGACAGAAATAGATTCCGGGTCACAAGTTCTGGGCCTGGAACAACTCATCAAACCTTTCATTTTTCAAATGGCAGCATGGAACATTGGAGCGAACTTGTTGATAACTTGTTGACATCGGATTCTGCAAAGCTATTGAACTCTAACATCATCCATGAGAATGAAGCAAAGGTCACGTCGCTGGATCCTATTGGTGCCGTGAAACTTCATGATGAACTGCACTTGGACCCCGCGCCTCCAATCCTTCGGCTCTTTTCAGCGCAATCCCAGCATCTCAGCAAAAGCCTTTTGGCCGAGACACGCAGCGAAGCTCCAACAGCATAAGCTTCGACCAAAGACAAGAAATGGACCTGGGAATTCTCCAATGGTTTCAAGGACCAATAACCGCAATAACCAAACATTGGCTCCTTAGGACTGCGTCACCGAAAGTTGTATCCCAAGTTGATGGCAACATGTCATGACATGGGAACTTGCCATGACAGCAACGTTGGCAGCGACCCACCTGAAGGAATTGGATCAGCACGATTTATCTCGCAAAACGAGATCTCCACACCCACGACCTGCGCCAGAAGGCCCATGACCACCCGGTGGATGTTGCAGCCCTAGACTTGCTTTAAGGGACACTTACCACAACCTGCAAAGTAGCTTAAATCAAACGCCTGAAATCAACTTCAACCGATCCAAATGTTCACGGTGAAGCGATCCCCTCTGGTTTCCCAAAAATGCCGAAGGATCCCATCTTAGCAAGACACCCCTCACCAGGCAAAGGTCCATGGAGGCTCCAAAAATGGGGCCGTGTGGCCATGGCAACATGATGTGGTAAACACTTGGCATATGGACCAAGAAAAAAATGAGTGTTTTGAACAAGTAATATACTGGCAAGCAAGACCAATGCAACCAGGTCAGCAAATTAGGATTGGGCAACCATCACGATTGCTAGCAGCAAAAACATGTTCGCTGCAACCTGGACGTTTGCCCGGCGTTGATGTCCCGCCTTCCTGATTTTGATCCCTCATGAAGATAAAGTTGATGTTATTAACCCATTCAACATATTGGTCAAAGGAGGTGGCAAATGTTGATCCCTCATGAAGATAAAGTTTACGTTGTTACCCCATTCAACATTGGTCATAAGGGGTGGCGAATTTGAATCCCTCATGAAGATAAAGTTGATGTTATTATCCCAATCCTCGTATTGTTCAGAGGGGGTGGCGAATTTTGATCCCTCATGAAGATAGAGTTGATGTTATTTCCCCAATCAACATATTGTTCTGTTATGTCACAATCATGAGTCTGGGCAAACGCTAAGGTTGCGGACAACATGTTAACCAAACATTGGATTAAAGAAAACATCAATCATGCGGATACACATGGCTTAACCTTGAAACGCGCAAAGACGGGAATATCAAGCAATCAGACGGGTACATCATTAAGTCATGAGGACATAAACAAGTAGAGGCAGATCAATCAAGAATATCAATGCGGTGGTCGAAATGGTTCAAGGAAGCAAAAACGGCTGATCACTCTTTCTCTTCGATTAGTTTCCAAAGACTGACAAAGATATTCCGGCACTTCAAGCTTCTAAGTGCACCTCATAGTGAATGCTCAGCAAGCATCGCAAGCAAACTTTGAAAACCACAAGAGCTGCCCATGCCCAGCCTGAAGCGCTGAATTAACTCCTCGTTCTCTGCCTGTCATGGACTGTCATGTCTGTTATCGCAAAAAAAAAATGACATTGTCTGTATGAACATGAGTCAACTATAATTTGGCATAATTTGGCCATCAAACAATGACGTTTTGACCCTCTAGAAATCTGTGGGGACCTCGTATCCGTATCCAAAGTTGACAGCGCAAGCTATGTTCATCTTCATGCAATGACGATCAAAACAGCTTGCTATCCAACATGCTGAGATAATGGTATAGGTAAATAACCAACCGTGTTGCCTGCTGCCAACAAATCAAAACCATTTCTACCTATGTTTTTCCATACCATATGCCATCAGTGCTATCCATTCTGGGCTTGCCAAACCCATTGTGAAGCGCGTCAGGAAGACCTCAAGTGCCAGCTTTGACGCGGCATCCTGCCGCAAACATTGGTGCAGCTGATCGATCTAGGCTGCCACTGTGTTCAACATCTCCAGGGATGGTCGCAGCTCAGTTTCTTTGGAAAAATACCGTTCTTTGATATAAGAACCGCTTCAACCACATGTCCAATAGATTCGTTTCAACAAATTTTGGTCCCAAATTTGTGGGTTATGCACTGCAGATGGTGTTCCAGTATTTTTAACAAGGGTGCACCAACACGAACTGCCAATTGACCAAACATCCACCCAAAAAACCGTTGCACGTCACTAGTTTTGCAGCTGGGTGGTACCCAAATGGCATGAGATCACCGCCTTCAGCCGACTTTCTCACATCCAGCTGCCACCTCCATCAACCATCACAACCGCATCCCATCATTCCACGTGAACAGGTTAAAAAAAAACAAGCAAACGCTTGCAAAGTCATGTCCTGTCCACTGTCAACAAGATGCGCACCAACCCCAGCACCAACCTTTTTGGATTCGGTCCAATGTTGGCGATACGTCTCCTTTGGACGGGCCCTCAGTCGCTCCAGGCAAACCCCCCGCGGCCCCACTCTTTGTACCTGCGAGGTGGCTGGAGCTTCCAACTGTCTTTGGCCAGATTCATCCGAAAGAAACCCCTGATGCTTGCTGCAGGGTGCCTTGTGGTTTCCGCCGGGCCAAACAAAATAAGCCGATCTTAATCTTACCCCAAAAGAGTTTCGAAGTGTCTTTTTTGATGTTGGATCCTGAAAGGCGTCCGTCTACCAAATTGATTTGCGAACAAAACCAACACAAAATTCACAAGACCGGGTCCAAGCACACAGCTCCGTGGGCCTTGAACGGCATGGTCAGTTCTTGCTGCTCAGTGCGCAGCTGCATCTGCCCCTCGTCCATGTCGATGGCGAAGCCGAGGACATCGTTGACTTTCCACGGTGCGATCTGCAGCGGTTCCCTTCTCCCACCGTGCCACCAGCCACACCGTTGCCCAGCAAACGCCCAGCCATTGGAATCATCTCCGACGCCTACATAATCGACTTCGCCACCATCCAAATCTGTACTGAGCCAACCCAGCTGGGGGCAGTCGAACTCGCTCAAGATCTGGATTTCATGATAAAACTTGCCTCGGTTCTGGGCCAAGTTTGGGGCACCGCAGGTGAACCAAATGTAGCCGTGCGGCGGTGTGTCAGGTGGTTTCAAAGCAGTGAGCCCAACCAGCTGGGGCTCAGGGCCGGGGCGGGCACCTGCCAGCAGCAACGCTTCGGTCACGGGGCCGTTGGGATCCTTTGCCCTTGCAATGTCCAAAGCACGAACTTTGCCGATGCCAGCAGCGTTGATGTCTACAAAACCAAGCAGAAATTCCACGACCATCAAGTGATCGCCGTTGGTTGCTGCATGCAAAGAGCGTACCCCGAAGTAGCAACCCGAACTGTGAAGAAATTGCACCACCTCCACATGGCCGTTGAGGGCCGCAAGAATTCCAGCAGTGTCTCCATGTTTGTTGGCTTTGTCAAAGTCACACCCAGCCCTGTGAAGAAATTTCACCACCTCCAAGTGGCCGCTTTCCGCCGCAAGAATTCCAGCAGTCCAACCATCGTTGTCGGCTTTGTCAAAGTCACATCCGGCCCTGTGAAGAAATTTCACCACCTCCAAGTGGCCGCTTTCGGCCGCACGAATTCCTGCAGTGTCACCATTGTTGTCGGCTTTGCCAAAGTCACATCCGGCCCTGTGAAGAAATCGCACGGCCTCCAAATGGCCGTTAGCGGCCGCACAAATTCCTGCAGTTGTTCCATTGTTGTTAGCTCTGCCAAAGTCACATCCGGCCCTGTGAAGAAATTTCACCACCTCCAAGTGGCCGCTTTCGGCCGCACGAATTCCTGCAGTGTCACCATTGTTGTCGGCTTTGCCAAAGTCACATCCGGCAGTGTGAAGAAATTGCACGACCTCTAAATGGCCGTTTTGGGCCGCAAGAATTCCAGCAGTCCAACCATCGTTGTCGGCTTTGCCAAAGTCACATCCGGCCCTGTGAAGAAATTGCACCACCTCCACATGGCTGTTTTCGGCCGCAACAATTCCAGCAGTGTCACCATTGTTGTTGGCTTTCTCCAAGTCACATCCGGCCCTGTGAAGAAATTGCACGACCTCCAGATGGCCGTTGCAAGCCGCAAACATAGCCGCAATGTTACCATTGTTGTTGGCTTTCTCCAAGTCACATGCGGCCCTGTGAAGAAATTGCACGACCTCCAAGTGGCCGCTTTCGGCCGCAAGAATTCCTGCAGTGTTACCATTGTTGTTGGCTTTGTCCAAGTCACATCCGGCAGTGTGAAGAAATTGCACGACCTCCAGATGGCCGTTGAAAGCCGCAAACATAGCCGCAGTCTCTCCGTGGTCCGTCGCCCGTTCCAAATCGGTTTCGCCACACAATTGCAGTGCCCGGATGGTGCTGACGTGGCCCCCCTCAGCGGCCCAGTGCAGCGCAGATTGGCCTCGCCACTTCGCAGTAAGCGAAACCCCGGCGTCGACCAACGCGTGGATCACCGCGACATGCCCAGCCTCAGCAGCTTGGCACAGCGCCGCCGCGCCATCGTCGTCTCCTCCCGCTGATCGCAGCAGGCGTGGAATCTGCGATGTCACACCGAACCGCGCTGCCAGCTCCAAGCGTCCACCCTCGTCGCCTGCTATGACGGGGAAGAAGGGCAAAGCAAACAACGACATGGCGACATCGTGCGCCAGTGCCGTGAGGAATGTCACAGCAAAGGCGAAAAGAACCAGCAAAGCGACGATCACAACCGCTGGCTCTTCAACCGCAAGGCAGTCACTTCCAACTGCAATGGAAAAAGACCAAGCGCACAACCACAATGTGCCCAAGGTTTGTAAAAGACGGAGCGCAAGCAAAGATCTGGAAAGTCTATGTTGGGCTGCTAAATCCGCCGTATTGCAGCACCAGTAGGTGCCAAGGAAGCAGGCCATGACACTGACAAGATATTCTTTCTTGAAGAGCTGAGACCATGCCAGGTTCAACCCGAAACTTCGGGATTTGAAGACTGCTGTGATCAACAGCAGTTCCGCCGCCAGTATCAGAGGCAAATACGGCTGTTGAACCCCATGAAGTTTGGCACCAATCGGCCGAAGACATATTCCCAGCAATGCCCAAGCACCAATGCGCGAAAAACTGTCGCACCATCTGAAGCATAGCAAGGCACCGGGTGGCAACTTGGTTTTCTCCAGTTTGCGGCTTTCAGGAACACAGAGTTCATAGGCATTGTTGATTCCCACCGCAACGGTCAGGATGGACATAGCGATTGATCCGCACAAAATGAGCAGATCGAGTGAATTTTCATTCGGCGGTTCCAACATCATAGCATAAACCTGCAACAAACTCGACGGCGCACCCTCAGCCAGCGCAGCCAACATCTTTTCCTCACGCAGGTGTTGAGTCATGCCATGAAGCCAACCGTCCCAGGCCATGACAACAGGCTGGATCTGTGCAACGTACAGCACGAAGCTCTTGAAACCAGGCTTTGGTTCACCATGCTCGCTCAAGCCTGAGGCCCAATAATAGTCAGTGTTGGCGTCAGGCCTGCACCGTTGCCAGCTCACATATCTGTGGCCAAAAGCTACGCATCCGCTGCCAAGCCAAATCAAGATCATCAGAAGAGCAAAAACATACATCCTCTGCTTGCAGTACTTGTAGGTCACGTACACATCCGACAGCATGTCGGCCAGCCACAGCAAAACCATTTGAGCGACTTCAGCTTTTGCAAAAAATCTTTCGACGTGCTCCTCACCTGCAATTTTTCGGACAACAAACTCTGCAACACTTTCACTGCACTTTTTCAACAGAAACAGAGCCAACAGCAGCATTCCACAGAGCAATAGCTGTGTGCGATGCTCACCGCACGTCAGGATTGCCCACTCCATGATCTTCCGCATCTGGTCGGTGAAGCAAGGCCCTCGGGCGAACCTGCGCAGGTTGCCCAAATCCACCATTTTCGCATGCAAGACGTGGAACTCTTTGCCCAACGGTTCTCGCAACACCACCGCGGCCGCAATGGCCAGTGCCAGGCCGAGCAAGCCACAGACTTTGAGGGCGAAAGCCCCGGAACCAGCTGGGCAAATGGCAGATCTGCCGTGGATTTCCGGTCCATCGGCGGCCTTGTCGCACAGCTCTTCTCTCACGGCCAGGAGCAGCGGCGTCTCCTCTTCCTCCCCGTCACTCGGACTCGATTCGGGCAGCGGTCGGATGCTTTGAACCGACGCCTCCCGAGGCTGGCGCCTCCAAGGCCGCGACAAACCGCAACCCATGGCCGACACCACAATCGCTTCTACTACTCAAATGGGAATGCAGAAAAAGGCCCATGTTGTACCATGTGATCTCATCTTACAAAGTGCTGTTTCCGTAGCTGTGTAAAAGTCCCACCTCCTTGGATCACATCATCACATGTTACGTGCTGCTTCCTAGACATATTATTGAGAAGGTTATGCACCGAAATGATCTGAAATGTAGTTGAGCTTAATTGAGTGCATGGGACAAGCCACTTTCCGACTTAGCCGAGTGGGAAAAAACGTTTCATCACGTGATCTCACCTCAAGAAGAACTGTTTCCTGGCATGTCACATGCCCCTTTCGTGAATCTTCCTGACATGTCGGAAGGTCTTGGAATGGAATGCCTCGTTGGAATCTACTGCGATGTGTTGGAATGTCATGCGGTGTATTGGGATGTAGTGGAGTGTGCGGGAAGTGTTGGCAGGTTGCCTTGAATCAAAGCCAAAGACCTCTGCAGGCTGCTCGCACAAGAACCTCTGCAAGCCAAACTTTCAGCTAAACCAAATTCGCCACACAGCCCTCAATGATTTGGACATCTGCATTCAGTGACTTCTCGGCTGCAACGTGCGTGACAGTGCGTGACATATGCAACCTGCTGAATTTGACACCAGCCAAAGAATGCTTCAGGTCAGGACGCAACTGAGGGCCCCACTATGCGAAATGGTGCCATGCCAAAACGCTTTTTGTCGTCCACATGGTGGCAGTTGCTTCTGTTGGGCCAGTTGAACATCGAGTTTTCTGCTTCATGCATCTATTCTTGGAATTAAAAGTTCGTCGAGACAACGACAAGTTAGTGGTTTGTTGCATCACCTTTGCCTCATAACAGCTGAGAACCGTGCGAAAATGCAGGACGACATGGTTTGCAAAGATCAAAACCTCTGGAACTGCATGGAGCTGCATAGACCTGTTGTGTGGGAATGTGGATGCGAACTCTGGGCAAGCACTGTGCAAGTCACCTTTCGTAAACATGGTCAAGGCCACCTTCAAAACACTAAGCAAAGACTTTCCAGCATCGAACTTTGTTCTTGATGAAAGTCAAAACAAAAGAATCACAACCTGACTTGCCTGGTGTGAGACGGCTTTGCGGCTTTGCGAAACAAACTTATGAAGACAAAGCACCCGAAAAAGAATGGTAACTGAGAATTCTCAAGGGTGGGACGAGGAGCAAATGTTTAGGATGAACAAAACAACAAATCCAAAAACCCAGTCCGGAACAAAACAGTGTCATGGCAAGCAACCACTCTTTTGCTTGCAATCT